CCAAAGCATCTTTCTTTAAAATTTGTAAAAAACTCAAAACAACCAAATATATAGGAAGAATAAAATGGTTAAATGAATTATATCTTGGTGGACATACTGGCATATGCCTGTAATCCCAGTGACTCAAGAGGCTGAGACAGGAGGATCACAAGTTTGAGGCCAGTCCCACAATTTAGGGAGGCCCTAAAGAGCTTACCTGTCTCAAAATAAGAAATATAAAGGGCTAGGTGTGTATCTCAGTAGTCCAGCATACACAGGTTCAACTTCCAGTACCAAAAAATAAAATAAAAATAAAAAGTTGCATCTTAACTGTATGCAAAGTATTATGCATTCATTAAGAATGAAAGAGTTTAATGACAAAGAGAAATTCATAACTTCATAAGAAAAAAGCAATATGAATTTTTTAAAAAGCAATATGTAAAATATTAACTACACGATTAAAACTATATAGAGAAAAATGAAACTAATGGTGGTTAGATAAGAACAATTTTTTAAAGCTCTTCATCTTTCTCATGCACTACTATGTTTATAAGTTGCACAAGATGAGCATCAAAAGCAGTATTACTTTGAAAGTCAAAAATTTAAAAAAAAACTACTAGGAAAGAAAATAAAAAGTAAATATCAGTATTTACACTTACTATGTGCAAGGATAACTGACTAAGGGTTATATGATTATCGGTCTAGTTTCTACATGATGGAATGTAGTTATGTTTAACTTATAACTTCAAAACCCATAGTTTTTACGAGGTAATCTATGCTAGACTTCACTCTCCAGTAAGACATGATCCTATTATTACTCTTTTACATTTTTGTAAGTCCAGAAGGGCCCCCACATCCATGGGTTTCACTCCTGCAGATTCAACTGGTCTTAGACTTAAAATATATATTTTTAAATTATCTATATTGAATATGTCCACATATTTTCCTAGTCACTATCCCCTAAACAATGCAATATAACAACTGTTTATGTATAATTTGTAATACATTAGAAATTTAATGTAATTTAGAGATTTGATTTAAAGTATACTGGAGGATGTGTATATATTATATACAAATATTATTCCATTTTATACAAGGGAAATGAGCATCCTTGAATTTGGGTATTTGAGTGCCCCATAACAAATCTCATAGATATCAAGGGACAAGTGAGTGGCTTACAGATTGCAAAATTCTTCATCGGTTTTATTTCACTACAAAGTAATTCATTACCATTATTTCATTCACTTCTCACAGCACCTGTGTGAGGTAGATATTGTTACCTACCATGTTACACTTGTAAAACCTGAGTCTCAGAGGTTAAGGGAGGTTGTCCAAGTTATGTGAGAAATTCATAACTGAACAGTATTGTACTCAGTTCTTGTGCGGCCCAACACTATACTCTATCAGCTTCTAAGGGATCTTTATAATGATTCTCATCAGGAACAATAAGCCCTGTGCCATTGCAAACATGATCTAAATCCCTTAAGCATTAAATAACTTACTAAAAGAGTGACTTTGATTTGCTTTGTATCTACTCTTTTCACTGTCTTCACAATTATTACATCTTTCGAAGTTAGTCTTTGATGTTTCAGTTAGTGCTTTCCCAACACGTCTCCAATCCCTTGATATACTCGACTAATTAAACAGTGATGTGGATTTTGTGTGAAGCACTTTTTAATTAGCCACAGTGATTCCCAAATTACTCAGTCTTGACGCGGGACCCTTAATATTCAAACTGGCAATTTAGTGCATATAAACTCTTTATTTAAATAGTGACATCTGAGATTAAGCTCAACAAAGGTTTCTATGGAAACTAGCAGCAATATCAAAACTTTCCAAAACATCAGAAGTGTAAAAATGAATGACAGAAAAAAATAGCTATCATATTCTGAAAGGTTAATTTTTCACTCCTCTCACTAATTTCCCTAAATGTGCCTGCATATTCATAACAAGACTCAGGAATTCATTTGCTAAGAGAGAATCCTAAGTGGGTAAGAATAACACAGGAAGTAAAAGTTCATGTTGTTTGTCAATAATATTGAAGCCGATTTCATAGAACTACAGAGGTTAAAGGTGAAAAACAATATAAGTTTACATGAATAAATATACACGGATAATATAGATAAAATTGCCAAAATTTTAGAATCTCTGCAGCAGAAAAAAAAAATCAATATATTTTGTGATTTGGTTCCTAATAGAAAGTTAAATAAGACTTCTGCCTTCCTGTGAACTAAGAACACAGGGAAACATTTTCTAAACTTGACTCCAGAATGAAATGCAAACATAAACATGTTTATGAAATGTTGCAATTGCTCTTTAAAATAGCTTTGAGATTCAAGCACAATGTAAGAACAATTCATAAGTTTTGCAAGTGTTAACTCCTGCTGCGAATGTTAATCAAATTCCAGCTTTAACCTTGACATTTACATGAGCCCTGACAATTGAAAACCCAAAATATTAGTGTACATGGCTACAGAGGTCAATTTTTTTTTTAATGAGGGCTCAAGCCGTAAAACGTTTCCTAAATCTCCTTACATAAAGACATCCAAGCATGTTTAATATGCGTGCTGATGGAAAAGTGACATAGACCACTAAGAAGTCTCAAATTTAACACTCCCCAAACCAACCCCCTGCTTTTTCCCCAGCCCGCTCTTCCCTAAGTGTTGAAGTCTCAATTTTGACACCAGTTCTCCAGTTTCTCAAAACAGTCATTCTTGACAATTCTGTCAGCAAATCCCCTCAGCTCTTACTCAAAATAAACTCAGCACTGAACACCTGTCTCCATCTTCTTGCTACTACTGTGATGCAGTTCCCCACGTGGCCATGGGCCCTTCCTCCTCCTGTCAATGCTTCTGTATCCCCTGGCTCCAGCAGCCTGATCCCTTTCTTTTCTCCTAAACCAGACACTTCTTTTCACATGCTTTTCACATGCTGTTCCCTCTGCTTGGAAAACCTTTCCCTAATGCTCGGATGACTCATCTTCTCATCTCCTTCAGGTTTTAAACCATTTCCTAAGGGAGGCTTTCTCCGTTCATTTTTATAAAGTTGCAATCCCTCCACCCCCTTGCTCTCTAATCCCATGCCTTATTTTCTCCCTAGGTCTAATGATTCCCTAAATGAATATCCACTTTCCTTGAGTTATTTTTGTGATTGTTGTTTATTGTCTATTTTCCTGCACAGCACTGTAAGGTCCTAGAATGAAGCCTGACACCGAGTACAACTAAAACTGTTTAATGTTGAATAAATGAAATTGTGTGAAATCATGGGCCTAACTTTTCTTAAAAAAAAAAACAAAACAAAACAAAAAAAACTCCCTACACTATAAGATGATATAAATTAGCTGATCAATTAACTAACAAGAATTGACTGAGTTTCCAGAGACTAATGTTGTACAGGGTTCTATGAGGGACACAGAGCTCTCTCTGCATAGATTCTCCATTTATAAAAGAAAACATTCCTTAGGAAGCAATTAGAGAACAAAGACCTCATACAGGCTGTCCAGGAGGCATGGGTTCTCATTCTGTTGTTGGCAATAACTATATGAATCTTGGGTAACTATTGCCCCATCAATCCTCAACATCTTAAAAATTTTGCAAGGAGACTTTCCTAGATGCTTAGCTTCTGTGGTTCTATTACCTCAGAGAAATGAGAAGTGAGCAGAAAAATATGAATACGTAGTTTAGTACTTATCTTCCCTTCCTTCTGCCTCTTTAGTTGGATTATATGTTTAAACCTTCCTAGAAGCCACACTGAGGTTGGTCTAAAAACCTTTATTGAAAATAAATCCACACCAGAAAATTTCCCAGGGAACTGGACCAAACTTCATCAAGTCTGATAAACATTGATGTGTTTATACATATTGCTGTTTTAAAGAGTTTTCTAACATCAAAATGTAAATATTATTGAAGATAGAAATAGTTTATGTAATTAGTATTATTCTTTCTCCATTTTGTACAAACCCATTGCCTCTAGTTATTTATCTATTTCATGAGTGGGGAGTGATCTCTTTGAATTTTCCCAAAGGGATCTTGATTTCCTATAAGTCCAGAGTTGCTGATTTTTCCCTTCTCTGTCTCTTTTCCTTCTCTACGGTGTTTTTTATTGAGATGTGGTATGAACAGATGGATTCCTGACATTTCTAAATATTATCTGCTCAGCTGAGAGAGGAAATAAATGTCAGACCTCTGTTGTGTCAGACAAATGAGGTCATGGGTAGACTTCACAACCCACCATCATGAGAAGATCATCATGCTATGCTACCAATCCAGAATGGATGACTGGCTTTGAATGGCACCATGAGAGACCCTAGATGTCTATGTCTATTACACAGACAATAGTGAAAAAGAACAGGGACAACAAAGTCCCCATGCAGTAATGATAATGCTTTAAAAGTTAAGCGTTAAGAAGTTTGGGCTAATGTATTTCTGTGGAAAAGGAGCATGCTGTGGAGTTCACCCGGCCCCTGAACACCTTGGGATAATGTGCCATCCTTTCTTGGCATGCATAAGCAGTGCCCAGGAAATACCTCTCCAACCAGGAACCATCCTCTGGTTGACAGATGAGAGTACAATTTCTTGGCACCTGTGTCCATAAACATCATGTTGGTGGTATAGAATATGATGATATGAGTATTAAGCAAGTCATTAAGGCGGAGGGGGGAAGGATCAAACCAGTGTTGCTTACTGATCTCTGTGGTAGTACCTTCTAAGTACACATGCAATAAATCTTCCCTCTGGCTCAAGTACTAGAAATCCGATTTCTTAGTCGGCTTTTAATTTATTTAGGCTAACTCTTGTTATCAGTTGCTCTCTGATACATCAAAGCAGTCTTCCCAGAATACAGGACAATGAATTCCTGGGGGTTATACATGCTTACTTTGTTCTAGCTATTTTATACACTCAGATAGCCCTTCTGTCTTTGGATCTCCAGCACTGGCACATTCTATTCTCATTCAACAGCCTGTAATGGAATTGAAGGAGATGACCAAAGCTCTGGAGTGTTATTTGGTGAACACGAGTTACCTGTGCAGATTCTTTTAAAGTTGGGATTTTCCAGAAGGTGTCCTGGTAGGCGGCACTGGAACCGATGTTGCCAGAATTCAGGGAACCAGGGATTCCTCGTATTAGTGTCCAGCCTCAGTTTCAGGAAATAATCATCAAATGACCTGACCTCCGGAGACTGCAGCTTTATCGTGATTCCCCCGTTGGCTTCCACCTCATAACCTTCAATGACTTCATCTCTGTCTGCCCATCCATCACTAAAAATGCAGAGATCGGGGTGGGGAGAGAGAAAGACAAACATCTCACAAATAGAGCTCAGAGTTATGTACGAATGAAGAAATGCAGAAAAGGCTAAAGTCTATTTTAGGTTAGCATTAGTGCCCATTAATGATTTCCCTCTTTGGTAAGAACTTGTAAAAATAAAATATTTATTTCTATTTATTTTTTTCTGCACAGTACTGAAGTCATGATGAAGATGATGGTAGAAATAATTACAACAGCTAAAGTTCCTTGAGCATTCACTAGTCATCAAATTTTGGGCTCTTCACTTTATTGAGATGGAAAATATTCAGCAACTAGCTGAGGTCTTCCTGGATCCAGGTAATCTGGCTTCCATGTCCTGTACTCCTTTACCACTAAATCACAGAGCCTATCAGCCACTGCCCAGATCAGAGAAAAATATAACTGAGGTACTTGGGACCTCACAGTAAGAGCTCAGCAAGCTTGCAACACTGTGGTCAAGATCATTATGTGAACTGTACTAGAAAACTGATTTATCTCTGAAACACACCAATCATGGTTTTGATTCCTGGGACGTTTTTTTCAATCTTGTCTGCCAGAGAAGTGACCAGATTTTTTTTTTCCTAATGCTATCTCAAAATAATAGCTTTAATGAAAAACAATCTCACCCTCAAGTGTAAAAAGAATCCAACTTCTCACCAAATGGGGGGCTCACTGACATTTGATTAAGTGGGTTAGAATTTTTAAACATGATACCCTTCTAAAATATTCACATCTACCATGGGTTATGTAGCCCCAGTTTAATTCAGGTATTTATGTGAGCCAGCCATAAGAGGTCATCAAGGAAAAATTGTACTCTACAGAATTGAATAGGCCAATGTGGCTTTATTCAAGATTGTTACGATATGTAATAGGTAGTGGAAAATAACCCATCGTCTCTGTCCGAGTGTCTTATTTGCTTCTCAGAGAGCAGGGAACTGGGCCAAATATATTTGACTGACCATAGCTCACCCCTTGTTACATGGCTCAGTTGGGATAACTGTGTTTTCTCCCTTGCTGAGCTAATGGATGCACTTCCTCCACAAACTACACCTGAGTCATATTTCCAACAGGTCCAGGGTTATAGGAGATGTGTGTTGGTGGCGATGGATTCCTTCAGAAAGCGATGTCTGCTCTGAGATGTAAAGGGGTCAGCATAGCTCAGGTAAAGAGAAGAAGAAGGACTGGCATCAAGTTTCCTGGTAGATGAACACAGAAAAAAAGATCACGGGATATTTAAGGGGTTTGGAAGTAGTCAGCAGAGCTGGATCACAGAGAAGTGCTGAGCGAGATGGGGGTGGGCACATAAATCCCAACCGAGGCACGATTGGCCTAGGACCTTGGGAAGTTCTTAAAGTTTGTAAAGCCTGTTTTTCAACAAGAGTTCTTAGCTCTCCCCCTTCATGGTGAGTGACCTGAATATAGTTTAAGTGGGTCCTTTGCTCATGATCACTGAAAATGATGACCA